CCATGGAAGGTCCCTGCAAAATTTCATTGAAATTGGTTCAGGGGTTTTGGAGAAGAAGTCGAAAATGTAAATTGTTTACGGACGCACGACGGACGACGACGGACAAAAGGCGATCGCAATAGGTCACTTGAGACTTTGTCTCAGGTGACCTAAAAAAATTAACACAGCCTTAAGTCCATGTAAACATCCATACCCTGTAGCCAACACTGTGTTCTTGGATCTAAATCTATGTATGGTACCATCTTCGAGACAAAGGGCTATAACTCCTCGGCACTCTCCGTCCTCCATGATCAGATCCAAAGCGAAGTATTCAATGAAGTAATGTGTATCATATTTGAGTGACTGAAACGGAAGAAATGAAAAAGTATGCTAATATCTTTAACATTCTGTTTTGTAAAAGTTAGAGTTTGGATGCTTTTATTAAACTAAAATTGAAAGGTTTTTAAAAAGAATTTTCCAAGATTAACTGCATGACTTGAGTGTTATTTCCTTCCTGAAATTTACCACACGAATATTTACCAAACAATACTAAAAAACAATGGAATTGTTTCATGTTGTTTTTAAGGGATTTTCCCTTCTATTATGGGAATTCGAACGAAATCTTGCAGTGCTTTGGACAGAAAAAGAACATCTGATTGATTGTTTATGTTTTCTTTGTCTTCATGGCAGCTGTATAAATTTTTATGTCGCATCTACGGAAAAATTGTGCCATTCAAAGAGACACAGTTATATAGATGAGGTATAACAATAAAACACGCACCCGTCCATACAGTGTGTGGAGGAGGGAGTGACCGGTGCGGTCAGCTACACAGCAACACCTGTGGGCCTGTCCACCTTTACCATACTTTAAACTCTGACCACCAAAAGCTCTCTGGTATATCTTCCCATTTTCAAGTCGACTGAAGGGCATGCCATAATTTTCCAGCTGAAATTTGATAGAACATTATATAAACTAAATTCTGCTTAAGTCTTAAAATTATTACTTCATGTATAATATATATTAAATTGAAGTGTTTTTAAAAAAGAATGTAAAATACAAATTTTGGAAAATTCGCACGTAAATGCAAATCCAAAATATCAAAAGCAAACTGAATTTGGACTATTCTGTCTTTGCGTATTGCAGAGTATCTTCTCTTGTGAGCAGGTATTGATTGTTCTGTCATGGGTTTGTGTAAGAAAATTACGATGTTTTCTCAAAATTTGATGACGTTACTCTCACAAACTATTGACGTAACAATCAATACCTGCTCTCAAGACAAGATAACTCTGCAATACGCAAACAGAATAAAACATTTCCCCTCTTCTTTTCTCTTGCAAAAATACTTGAACTTATTTACAACTTCCCTGCATCTTGTTCCATGTAATATTTAACAGAAATTGTTCAACATGTTTCCATATGTACAAAACTAGCTTTAATTTCACTTTAGATTTCCAATATTTTATCCTAAAGCTCTCTCTCAAAAAAACACTTCAAAACCAAATTTTAAATGATGGTATGCAGGAAATTAGTTATGTACCCAACTTAGCCAAAAAAAATTACTTCATAAGATGAAAACTGTTTCTTGGGAAACTAAGTTATAAAGACAAAACTAATTCTAGGGAACTTAGTTTACAGGACAAAAGCTATATCTGAGGATTCTATATTAATATTAAGGCATCAATAATTTTAGGAGAAACAGATATATAAGGACACTTTTTGAAGTACTTTTGCGATAGTAAGATCAGGAGTCCAGGACTAGGAGTCTGTAGTATCAATTACCTCAATGACGGCTTTAGGGGCTTCCTCACACATGTACTGAATGGCGTCTTGGTCCCCCAACCAATCAGATCCCTTCACGGTGTCGTAGAAGTGGTACTTCCACGAATCTTCCTCCATATGTCCTAGTGCAGCATTGATACCGCCCTGGAAAGTTGACAGGTTGTTACAATCATTCAAAATGATATTTTACAAGTCATTTTAAGTAGAAATATAACTTTTCGTTACATTTTCACCTTTGAAATATTAACAATCTTGGTCTGGCCGTGCATCTTTCCTCTCCTGTTACTCATTTTATGACAAAAGTTGATGTGCTGAACCTTTTATTGCTGACTGACAATCAAAGAGCAGTGTTTGTACAAGTGTCGTGAAAATAACAAGAGATCATTGATAATGAGGTCACAACAGATCCAAAGTCATTCAATGGTAATGACCACATGTAATGTAATGTTGTATGACTGAGAAGACCGGTGCCAAAATTTTACTTTAACACAAACAATGCCCACAGTAATTAACATCAAGTCTAGCTTTTAAGGTTTGTGATACATACAGTCAACCAAAAACGAAGGGTTTGGTTTGGTTTAGCATTGTTTAACGTCCTATCAACAGCTATGGTCATTTAAGGACGGAGGGTTTTGAAGATGAATTATGTGATGGTGACAACCAGATAATGCTGTATTTCGACAAATTTCAATGTCGTCAAGGGGTTAATAAATTCTTATATGTCACAATTTCTGTATACATTGTATTACATTTTGGTAGTTAGGATACACATAAAACAGTTTAGATTGGAACACATCAGTTGAAAAATTGTTATGTATAATATGAATACTGATGTTGCGTTATAATACCTATTATAAGATAGGTANATCTTCCTCTTGCTTAAATCCGATTAATTAAAAGTTTCACATTTTCTTACCTTTATTACCACCTGTACAGGTAAATACTGAAGCAACTTTAGAATTGAAAACGTTAATATAATCTAGTGACAACAACGAACAATTTTCATATAACTTTTTTTCACATAGAACAAATATTTTCCAAGTTATGCACATTTGAAAAATCAAGTAAATTAAAATGAATTTCAATAATTAATTCAGCAGTGGTGTCCGTTTACATAGAAATCAATGTAGCAGCCTAAGGGATAAGATGGGTAGGTATATTTACCTGAGCGGCCACTGTGTGTGATCTGGTAGGGAAGAGTTTTGTGATACATGCTGTTTTGAAGCCTTCATTAGCCAGGCCAAAGGCGGCTCGGAGACCAGCGCCCCCTGCTCCAACCACTACAGCATCGTAGGTGTGGTCTATCACAGGATACTTCCTCGACAGCTGTCAATCAAATAATGCAAACAATATTATTATTAACTTATCATTATATTATGTTTGTACGTTGCAGGTAGCAGTCATCCTTTAGATTAAAGAATTTGAAAGAAAGGAAGATGTTAAATCTCATTTAAATATCAATATTTATGACAATATTTTTGCATTAAAATATTATTATATATCTTATGAAGGTGTACAATTTTATGTATAGGGATCTCGCATTGACATAAAAACTACCAGTCCCAGGTGTTAAATTTGAAGTCAAACAAAAGTCAACTCTATGCTGGCGATCAAAGCTGCACCTTCTTGTACACTGACCGACTACACTGACTTAAAACTGTGTTCATTAACAGGGTTAGACACTAAAACTTTTTGCTTGGTAGTCCACAGGACTAGTTGAATATATAGATTATTTACTTGTCCTTCGTCAACGTTACTAGTCCAAGATTCGAAGATTTCCTGATGAAGAAACATTGCGATCTACAGCACAAAACTTCAAAAGTAATCCACTGTAAGGGACTTTGATAACTATCTACTGCCGTAAAAATATGGTGAAGTTTTAGAAATATATTGACAATTATCATACAATTATTTTAAGAAATTTTCTAAATTTTAAAAAGGAATATTCTTATTTTATAATCATTTTTTTTAGAAGTCAACTTAAAGGACCAGTTAGGTTAGGTGATTCACTAGACCTTGCTGAAATCTACTAGTCCAGGACTAGGGGACTAGTGTTAGTGTCGACCCCTGATTAATAATACACGTACCTGTATATTTAAATAAATAATATCCATAATATTTAATAACTGAAAAATTTAATAACTGAAAAATCATTTCAATTATAAAAGGTGTTTTAAACTTCATATTGCACATGTTATGAATACCCTTAGAACCTCTCCATCCCAAACATTCATATTGTTTCATTAACTTATAATGTGTCATATATCATGATCAAGTGAAAACCACTTAGTTTACACTGTCACACATGACGGACTTTACCGATTGTCCTGTTGATGATGTTGCATCACTGTTACGACCCTGTATGTTGAAGTGAAGGTTTCTCTGACTTGAGCCTATGGCTGGTGAAACTCTCAACTGTAAAAAGACATAAAGGATAAACTGATAACTAAAACAACTGTACAACATGTAATGTTCTCATGATTTGGTAGAAATCTTATAAAGATGCCATATCAAACAGGTGGTCTGTATTGCAGTGGATACTCACTCATATTTCACCAAGGCGGCCTGAGTTCAATACCTTGATTGGACATGAAAAGATATGGGGTCACCTGTCCGACCTAGCTGTGGGAACCATAGCTCCTAGGTCCGATATATTTTTTTCATTTTTTTTTTATTGGACCATAGACTATCATGGTCCTAAAAAAAAAAAAGTTCAAACAAAATTAACGATTGGACCTAGGTCTAGAAGCAGGGTTCTCCAGTTTCCAAACTTTCCTCCCACATAAAGACACCATGCACGCTAATATGTATACCCAGGCCATCAAGAGTGATGAATATAAGTTACAATAAATTGATGCAATTTAAATAAAGTTTATGTTTAAACATTAATTTCTAAACTTTTAATTCTAAATGGATTCACTATATTCACTTTATATCAGACACAACTTCATCGTCTGGCAAGACTGTTTTCCAGCGTTTTAAGTAAAAGAGAACATCTTTTTTAAATTTTCCATCCGTAGGTGTCTGACAGATATCTCTGCTGCAATAAGTCAAAATACTGTGTGTTTGTGTACTGCTTATAAAATTGTACTAAACCCATTTTACATAAAATTGTGCTATTCATACGTAACAGCATGTTAAGCCTCATGCAGGCCCTAGCTATTTTGGTATAAAAATCTTGGAATGTAAAATAAATTGATATCAACCAATATTCATGTTAAAGTCAATATTAGTCCCATCTTCAAATTCTATTCTTAATGACTTAAGTCTTTATTTACGCCTACATCAATACTGTTTACAATTTCATTCAGAATAAGTTTGCTAGTTCATAGCTATAACTGGTCCAGACCAACTGTGTCTTGTCATTTAGTGTCATCTTCTCAGTGGCACTGGAGTGTATGGAGACTATGAAGACTAATTGGTAAGAAATTGAGGAGGGGGGGGGGGGCACATTGAATACTCATTGGTTTTGGTAATGCGAAAGTTAGTACTTATTTAAGACGTTTCAGTAACTTGTTGTTTGATATTGAAGAAGATTTTGGGCATTTTTCGTCTTTACAAAAGCACCTATTCTTAGGTACCAAAACGACAAGGTACCGAAACGTCTAGGATTCATTTGCAGGATCTAATTTCGGTTTATAAATGTGAAACTTAACGTTTATTGTCCCAATATGCCTGTGCTTTAAATGTCACGATATTTTCCAAATCTTATCATGTCTTCTATGCCAGGTTAGGTAAGCGGAGGCCCCTGTGCTCAAGGTCAGAAGATTTGAAAAAAGAAAGATAACAATGAGATGACTGTAAGTATGACAGCATTCTCTCACTTTCTTCAGTAATAATTACAACTGATCATCGTAGTGACAGCGTCTTTGTGATATCAAATAGTCTATTCACAAAATATCTACGTCTGCGGCATCTAAGATCTTGTTGTTTACCTTACGCAACCAACTCGAATCGGCATACGTGACCGAGCTTTTTGTCACCTTTTATCAAATGCAGCATTAATATAAAATTAACATATAGTTGCTTTGGCTTATTCAATCTAAACAATCAATATCCCGACGGAGTTATACTTACAACATTTTTCAATACAGCTCTATGAGCTGATTGAGAGGTCAACTTCAACACACTCGCCATCTTTTACCGGAACTAGAATTTACACATGCGCACAAAGATTTATATAACGAGTTACATAAGCTCCTACGTAATGTACTAATACCATTTTTAGGACCATTTCCAATCGACCCACAATTTGTTTATCATGGAAAAGCAATGCAAGCCTGTACATTTTTCAATAATTGCATCACAGAAATACCGCAATGAGCGTGCCTGTAAACCGGAAGTCGATAAGTGCTCTTCACTTCCGGACTGAAGCACAACTTTATTCAGCATCCTTCGGGGTGAGAACTTGAGCATTCCTTTACTTTCAATTTCGGAAAACACTACGTTTTTTCGTGCACTTGATACTAAGAATCATACAAGGCTCCTAGTGGGAATGATTGGTCATGAAATACCTTTTAAGTGTAGATGCATTTAACATCAAAGCTGTGCAGCCTAATGAAAAGTATATTGACCTTGAAACTGGATGACCTTGAAAAGGTCATGTTTTTCAAGCATATACTTCTTTTGTGTAATAAATTTAACTTATATGCTATAGCATTGGATGTGAACAATAATAAAATTTCATAAAACATTTCGATACAAATGCATTCTCATGTGTATGACTTTTAGCAAAACTTAATTTAGTTTGACTCCTGAGTGTTCAATTATATATGCAGTCACCCCACACCCCAATACTGCCTTCAACACCGACAAAACTGTTATTGTGACTCAATCTTAATGTGACTCAATCTTGTAAGAATTGTCGAAATCCTCTACCTAGCAATTATAATCATTAGTTCATAAAAAAAA